ATATATACAAGTATCGTATGAATATATTCTTGTAAAAATTCAATTAATGTAGAAATATACAGAGTAAAAGTTGAAGGTTCTCCTTGAGTCCCTCATCTTCACCCCCAATCAGTTGGTGAATTTCTGGAGGACAGTCAGAAAAGAAGTAGAATAGTTTAACAGTTTAGGCTTTGACGCAATATTTTCACTTCTAGAAATGTAGTCCCCCTAGAAATGTAGGAGTGTTTACCCTAATATTATTCATAATAACAATAGCTACAACTTGTCAGCAACAACTAAGTGCCAGGGACTGTTCTAAAAATATAACATTTGTTAAATTATTGGATCCGGACATGAATCCTACAATAATCATAGATATTATGATTATGCCCATTTTACTGATGAGAAAACTGAGGTACAGGAAGGTCACAAAGCTAGCTAAGTGGCCATAGGGATTCAAGTCTAGGCAGTCTGACTTGTGGGTCTACGTTATCTATCTCCATACTCTCTTGTCTATGCTTCTATAATAGTGAAAATGTGAGAAGGGATCTATCAAACGGGAACTGGTTAAGTAAATTATGGTACATCTATGCAATAGAATATTGTCAGCTTTCACGATGTTGCTGTAGACTGATATTCATCTACATGAAAGAAAAAAATGGAGGCATAAAACTATATATCTATAACACCATTTTTGTTCTTTTTCAATATATATAATTATAAGAAATTATAAATTTCTCGGTACACGGAGAAAAGAGTTCGGCAAAAATGATGAACACCAAAATCTTAACTGATTTTCTCTGGGAGCAGCATTATAGTGTCTTTCTTTTCCTCTTAATACATTTCTATATTTGGGAAGTAAAATGATCCTACATTACTTTCATAATCTAAGAGAAGCCATAAAGCTATTTTTAAAGGAGTGTGACAATTGCTACCTCTATCAGTGAATCAGTGAATATGAGAGCGCTACCAGCTAATTTCCAGTCACTACTTCATGCCGACTTACCCAGATGAAGGGCTGCGGGCAGCACGCTGGCCTCAGCACTGAGGTTTCCTGTTCCTCAGCAGCCCAGAGGCAGAGTTTCCATGATTGCATGGGCGTAAACATCTCTGGGCACCCAACAACAGTGGAGTCTGGCTAGATTTCCAGTTTCTGGCCTCAAGATATTTCTGTTCATTGTTGCTTCATTAAGCACACTGGCCCCATCTGTTACCCTAGTAGATCTGTCTTCTGGAGCACACATGGAAAGACAAGGCCCAGTATTGATAAAGATAAGGAGATACGTCTTCTAGTCTAGTGACTACGTGAAACCTCAGAAAGAATACCTTGAATAACCCACAAGGGTGACTCAGCAATGTTGGTGATTCTATGCTCTTCTAATCAATGACTCTGTCTACCTGTCTGTCTTTCTGTCTGCATTGATTTTGTTCCATGTACAAGCCTCCATGCTAGGTGCTGGAGAGATCTGACATAAAGTGTTGTCTATCAGGGAGACAAAAATCAGTATAAATGAAGTATTTATGAACACTTTATTCAATGGAGTTAGCAAACACCTGTTTGGTGACATCTGGCCATCAGGCACTACTTGGGGACACAAAGAGGGAGCTCACAGTCAGCACTGATCACTTCAGAGGGGAAGTGTCATTTCAGTTGGATTTCAAAAGAGGAATAAGGGTTTGTCAGTGGAAAAGTGGGAGAAGGGCTGGTCAGGCTAAGAGAATGTAAGTGCAAAGGCACGGAGGCTGGAAGGAGTTTGGCCTGTTCAGTGAACACAAAGTCCAGGACAGCTGGACACAAGATGAGTGTTGAGAGTACTGGCTCCGAAAGAGTTAGATCGAGACCATGTTTATGAAGAGCTGAGACACTTGAACCTTCCAGTCCACAGGAAGCTAGCAAAGACTTTGATTCCGTAGAGGGGCATAAGCAGAGCTACAGTTTAGAGGATGAATACCAGTGACAATGTCATTGAGAAAACCGAAACAATCAAAAGAAAACTTCCAATTCCCACCACATGTGTCCACCTGCCTGCACCAGTATATATCCTCTGCTCTTCCTCTTGCCGCTTGGATGAACGGAGCGTTCCCGTCTCACGTCAATCCCTCTGTGTGTGCACCAGATCGCTTCCCCTCCTTCCTACTCAAGCACATGGCTCCAGAAATTCTCCCCCTCTTGCCTACATTAACATATTTCATCTTTCTGCAGCATCACTGTCTTCAGCCTACAAATATGCTGTTATTCTGACATCTTGAAAAGCTCTCTCTTGGCAGGGTGCAGCGGCTCATGCCTGTAATCTCAACACTTTCAGAGGCCGAGGCGGGTGGATCACGAGGTCAGGCATTTGAGACCAGCCTGGCCAACATAGTGAAACCCCATCTCTACTAAAAATACAAAGAATTAGCCGGGCCTGGTGACAGGCGCCTGTAATCCCAGCTGCTCAGGAGGCTGAGGCAGGAGAATCGCTTGAACCCGGGAAGCAGAGGTTGCAGTGAGCCAAGATCCTGCCACTGCACTTTAGCCCTGGCAACAGTGTGAGACTCCATCTCAAAAGAAAAAAAAAAGAAAGAAACAAAAACTCTCTCTTGACCCCATTTTCTCTTCCAGCATTGTCCCGTTTCTGACCTCTTTACAAAACTCCTTGAAAGAGTTGTCAAATTCAATGTCACCTACTCCTCTTCTCATCCTCTCCCTTAAATCCTCTCCAGTCAGGCTTTTTCTCCCTCTATGCCACCAAAACTGTTGATCAGGATTCCCAGTGACTCCACATTACTAATTCAAATGGTCATTTTAACAATTTCTTTGTGACTTGGCCTCTCCCTCCTCTTAGAAACACTTACTTCGCCTGGTTTCCAGGCCCTCACACACTCTGAGGTTTCCCCCTGCCTCTCTGACTGCTCCTTCTCAGTTGCCTTGGTCGATTCCCACCCGTGCCCCCAGCCTCTTCATGTCCCTGTGTCCCAGGACTGGGACCTTGGCCCTCATCCCTTCTCTGTCTACATTCACTCCCTTCGTGACCTCATCCAGCCACATGCTGACCACCGTCAATTTTATATTTCCAGCCCAGATCTGCCAGACTGAACCCCAGGCTCCAATTGCTTTCTTTTTCTTTTTTCTTTTTTCTTTTTTTTTTTGAGATGGAGTCTGTGTCACCCAGGCTGGAGTGCAGTGTGTGTGTGTCGCCCACTCACTGTGTCGCCCAGGCTGGAGTGCAGTGGTATGATCGTAGCTCACTACAACCTCTGCCTCCTCGGTTCAAGTGATTCTCCTGCTTCAGCATCCCAAGTAGCTAGAGCTACAGGCACACACCACCACGCCCGGCTAATTTTTGTATTTTTTTTTTTTTTTTGGTAGAGATGGGGTTTCACTATGTTGGCCAGGCTGGTTTTGAACTCCTGACCTTGTGAGCCATCTGCCTCGGCCCCCCAAAATGCTGGGATTACAAGTATGAGCCACCGTGCCAGGCCTCCAATTGCTTCCTTGACATCTTTATTTAAAGGTCTGTATAGCACTTATCTCAAATTTAACATGTCAAGGGTATCGTTGTAGTGGCCCTGTTGGTTAAAATATCAATTCTGCCAGTTTAAGGATTATAATTACTTAGAAAGCAAGTGACGTAGTTGGAGTACAGCATACTTTGATACTCTGTGGGAATAAAACAGCCTTAGCCTTTCCTGAAATAGCTCCCTCCATCTCCGCAATCACTCTCCCCAGTTTCCAATGCTTTGTTGTGCTTTCTCTTCACAGCAGGTATCACACCCTGAAAATATATTTGTTTGTTTATTTTCTGCTTTCCCTACTACACTGCCTGTTTCAGGAGGGCAGACTATGCTGATCTTTCTCACTCCATGTGCCCAGAAGAAGGCCCAACCTACAGCGGGTGCTCAATAAATAACCGAACAATAAATGCATAATCTGATTTTTCCAGGAGTAAGAACAGCAATGGTTTTCTTTTTTTTTTTTCAAGAAGGAGTTTCACTCATTGCCCATGGTGGAGTGTAATGGCACAATCTCAGCTCACTGCAACCTCCACCTCCCAGGTTCAAGCGATTCTCCTGCCTCAACCTCTGAGTAGCTGGGATTACAGGCACATGCCACTTTTGTATTTTTAGTAGAGATGGGATTTCACCATTTTGGCCAGGCTGGTCTCAAACTCCTGACCTCAGGTGATCTACCTGTGCCCAACCGAAATTTACTATTTCCCTTTTTTTTTTTAAGACAGAGTTTTGCTCTTGTTGCCCAGGCTGGAGTGCAATGGTGTGATCTCAGCTCACAGCAACATCCCAGATTCAGGCGATTCTCCTGCCTCAGCCTCCTGAGTAGCTGGGATTGCAGGCATGTGCCACCACACCTGGCTAATTTTGTATTTTTAGTAGAAACAGGGTTTCTCCATGTTGGTCAGGCTGGTCTCGAACTCCTGACCTCAGGTGATCTGCTCACCTCGGCCTCCCAAAGTGTTGGGATTACAGGTGTTAAGCCAGTGTGCCTGGCCCGAATTTGCTATTTCTAAAAAGTGCCTTGGGTGATTCTGTTGCTCTTAGTCACCAGAAGAGTCACTCCGAATCAGACAAAGCTTGGTTTGACCCCAGCCTGTCACCTAGCTGCATGACCATGGGGAAGTAACTTCTTCTCTGATCTTGTTTCCTTATTTGTAGATAACAGGCATGGCCCCATTCTCATGGAACTGTTATGACAATTAATTAAATTAAGTAATGGATGTAGAGTTCTTGGCATAATGCCAGTTGCTCAGGTAGCTGCCACTATGATATTATTATTATTTTATTTTTATGCCCAAGCAGAAGAAGATTTTTCTTCCTGTGGGATCACTCTGGGAATCCTCTCAGAGTGGGGTTCTGAGACTAGCAGTATCAGCATTACCTGGGAGCTGGTTTAAAATCCAGAATCTCTGCCCCACCCCAGATCTACTGAACTGAAATCTGCACTTTAACAAGACTGTGTTGAATGTTTGCACATTCAAATTTAAAAAGGACTGTTCAAAGTCACATGTACTGTTTTCTTCCATTCTCTAATTTCAGAAGTCTGCCCAGGAGGTTCATGAGCCCCGGCATCCCAGAATCGGAATTGCTTCTCAGCAACAGTGGCTTTTCACCATTCTAAGTGTAGGGGAGGAAGCCCTGCTCATTCTGGGTGCACTTCCTGCTAAGGAAATAGGAGGAGGAATTCTGAAGCCTTGTGGCTGCTTCATGGAGCTCTGAACAAGTGCTTGGGATGGATCCAAACTCCATTTTGCTTTCTCCGAAGCCCCGGATCTGCTCCTACCTGGCAGAAGCCTGTATGGAAGGTGAGAGAAGCTCATCCCCTACAGAGCTGGATAGAGACTCCCAGTTTCCCTGGAGCCAGGTCCCCAGCCCTGCAGACCTGGATGAACACATCCAGGCCAAGAGGGCCAGGGTGGAGACCATTGTCCAAGGCATGTGTCTCTCCCCGCATCCTCTGGTGCCAGGCAGTATACAAGCTGGGGACACCCCACACTGCCCAGAGACGGCCCGAGAGAGGAAGAGGAAGCAGAGCCTTCCCACACAGCAAGGGCTCCTGATGCCAGCCCCTGCCTGGGACCAGGGCAACAGGAAGGGGGGCCCTCGCATGAGAGAACAACTTCACCTGCTGAAGCAACAGCTAAGACATCTGCAAGAGCACATCCTGCAGGCTGCTGAGCCCAGGGACACAGCTCAGGGCCTCAGAGGCTGTGGCAAGGGAAAAGGCCCTCTGAGCGCAAAGCAGAGAAATGGCTGTGGGCCTTTCCCCTGGGCTTCGAGCAGTGACCACCAGCAGGGTTCCAGCAAGGACCTTTCTGGGGCAGAAAAGCACCGAGTGTCTGAGGCTGAATACCAGTCTGAGGAGCCCAGGTTCCTTCCTTCTGGAGCACCAGCTTCACTGGAGATTCTGAGAAAAGAGCTGACCAGGGCAGTGTCCCGGGCTGTGGACTCGGTATTACAAAAGGTCCTACTGGATCCGCCAGGCCGCCTGACTCAGCTGGGTAGTCAGGGGTGGGTGCCGGAGAGTGGAAGCGAGTCCTCACCTCCCGTGGCAGAGACCTGTGAAAATCCACTTGCTTTGGCTGCCTTGCCCAGGAGGGTCCAGCTGCAAGCTGGGGTCCCAGTAGGAAACTTATCATTGGCCAAGACTCTAGATTCTCCTGGGTACCCTATCTCTCCAAGAATGATCCCCAAACCTTGTCAGGGTCCCCCAGCAAACTGTCCATTGACTGCACCTTCCCACATCCAGGAAGATCAGATTCGAAGCCAGCTACTGGGTCACAGATGCAACAATGGCCATTGGAGTAGCAGTCCTTCCCAGGACTCATCTTCCCAGAGGCACCCCTCCTCAGAGCCTGCCCTACAACCTTGGAGAACTACCAAACTGCAACCATTGGTCCTGAGCCAACAGCAGTGTCCCCTGCCTTTCACCTCTGCCCATCTGGAAAGTCTGCCCCTTCTTCCCTCGGTGAAGATGGAACAGGGAGGCCTGCATGCTGTGCCTGAGGCACTGCCTTTCTCTTCGGTCCCCATATCCTTTAATAGCAGTTGAAGTTCTCATTGTTGGCCAGGTGCAGTGGCTCATGCTTATAATCCCATGCTTTGGGAGGCCAAGGTGGGAGGATTACTTGAGGCCAGGTATTCAAGACTAGCCTGGACAACATAGCTAGACCCCACCTCTAAAAAAAAATTAGCTGTACATGATGGTGTGCGCCTGTAGTCCTAGTTACTCAGGAGGCTGAGGCAGGAGGATTGCTTGAGCCTGAGAGTTCGAGGTTGTGGTAAGCTATAATTGCACCACTGCACTCCAGCTGGGCAACAGAGACACTGTCTCAAAAAATAAATTAAAATCTCATTGGCACTATGCAGAGAAACAAGAAATCTGAAAGCTGAAGAGGAGGTGGGGACAGATCACTCGGGGTCTTCTTAATGTTGCTCCGGCCCTTCAGGTTAAAGTGGTGACCACATTCTGGAACTTAAAGACGTAGCAAGGTTCACTTACCTTCTTCTATGACCGATAGGGTTCCGCCACTTGACTTTTCCCTTTGGGTCTAAAAGGGTTTTGAGACTCAAATAAGCTTTTGAAATACAGTAAATACCCTAAAGAAGAAAGAACCCCATAATTCGGTTGTCAGCTACACATACACTTAGGCAGAGAGGGTCAAAGGAATGCCCTCATCCGAGGTGTGGCCTCCCCACCCCGTGGCTCTACAAGCAAAAATCCCGTATTGTGTAGATAATTCCTGGGGAGCATATGAGGGATCAGAAACTTCTGGGCTAGATGGAAAAGGAGTTTTCCTTGGGCATTAAACCCAGAGAGGCAGCTGGAAATGGCCAGAAGTCTTCAGTTAAAGGACCATCTTCCAAGGTGCAACGGAGTGCCTGGAGACTGGGGGCGGGGCACATGCAGAGAGAGGAGGCTCCACATGAGGAGGCCCGAGAGGCCGGGCTGGTCTGCAGGGCTCTGGATCTCACTGCATCATCTTTGCAACCCTTAAGCAGACGCTACTCTCTTAATGTATTTTCCAGAGTAACCCTCAGGATTAATAATTGTTAACAGAAAAAGTACCTTGGGGAAATACTGAGATAGTTTCTTTTCTGTGAGAATTCTCAGAGCCTTTAACATGAGTAAATGGAAGCTCTGAGAGGAGAATGGATACAGCCCCAAACCCATATGACTGAAGAATCCACTTCTAACAAGCATCTTGCAGAACTTAAGTTCCTGAGAATATATTTTGGATGCTGCTTTTTCTTTTTCTTTTTTTAAAGACGGGGTTTCACCATGTTGGTCAAGCTGGTCTTCAACTCCCGACCTCAGGTGATCTGCTCGCCTTGGCCTCCAAAGTGCTTGGATTACAGGTGTGAGCCACTGCGCCCGGCCGGATGCTGCTTTTTAAGTGAGCTGTGCTCACACTGCTGCTTCTTGTGGGCAGCTTTGAGGCCAATCTCCAGAGACTGATGAGTCCATGGAGTTGCATACCCGGGTGGGAAGAGTGGTGTCCTCTGCCTGGCAATCGCTGTGAGGGCAGCAGGATGGGGTGGGACAACAGAGGGAGACACTGGCATTTAGGACACCATGCCAGAGACTGCCTTTGTGTCCTAAATGCCATGAGCGCCCCCTGCTGCTGGAAACACCCCAAAGCTTTCCTGGAAGTCAGCAAGCAACTATAAAAGTAATGCTGAGAACAGAACACTTCACTTGCCACTCCTGGAGGCACAGGGATACCACCATAGACAGATTTTCTTTAGAAGGCTACTTGTCTAGGCCTTTGATAACCACTGGATGACTCTCCATTAAATTCAGACAGTTGCAAAACCACCTCAAGCAGATGGTCCCCCAGAATTTGCTATTTGTTGAGCACCTCCTTGTGCCTGTTCCCGCCCCCCAAATTGGGGATTGGGCTCAGAGAGCTTCTGGAGATTTGGGGCCTATCCTAAGAAATACCTAAGCCAGGCCTGGCTGCATGGGTGAAGCACCTATCTTTGGAATGACTTGTGGCCCCCTGGCAGAACCCTGGCCCCTCAACGCTTCCCTCATTCCTGATGCCTACAATACAAGAACAGCGATTTATTCCTGTGGGCCATGAAAGCCACCTGAGAGCAAGCTGCTTTACAGCACAAAAAGAATGTTCACGTTCACATGCCATCCTGTGACATGGATAGGGCAGATGTGAAGATCATGAGGGGAGACTGACAGAGCACTTTTTCTGTGGCAGGCACTGCTACCAGCACTTCACATGTATGTGTCCGCCACCACTTAGCAACAATTCTGAAACCCACAAAGCTTTGAAAAGTCCTATGATTTTTTTTCGCCCTAAGACTCCTGCAATCTTTTTTCGGTAGCAAAACCTGGCCTGCACTGATTGGAGGCTACTTATAGATTTTATCCCACTTAGTATAGTCATACATTTTGCTGCAGAAATGTTAATGTATTGGATTATAGACCATCTCTGCTGTAGATGCTAATTAATGTGTGGTACACACATCATATTACCTTTACATGCTAGCAAATTCTAAAATCTGAGCTCCATTTGGCCCAGCATTTCAGATAAGGGGTTTAGATCTGTATTATCTCACCATCCTCAAGCATCCACTCTAAGATCAGGTATCTGAGAAGCAGAGACATAAAAGGGAACTAACTCGCCCAAAGCACTAATGAGCAACCAGGATTCAACCCGGGATCTGATGGCCAACTATAAGCTTTAACCACCATACTCCACATCTTAGCAATGAGGCCCAGAGCAGTGCAGTGGCTTGCCCAAGGTCACACAGCTAATGTGGCAAAATCAGTGTCTGAAACTGGGTCTTTGGAATCCCCAATCCAGGATTCTTTCCAGAGCATTTGTAGATCTGTAGGAAGGATAAGTAGGGCTGATGGGACAGCAGGGAGGAGTCTTCTGTGCAGCAACCAGGTGCCTTGGCCAGCTATAACCATACTCAGTTGCTTTGGTTTATTTTGGTTAATCAGATTCACCCTATGTGGAAGTCTTAATAATTGTCTTAAGCTACAGCTCTCAGATCTGAGACCCCAGGTTACTCTGTGTAATGCTTCCGACTCAGCCTAAGGACTGTCCCTGAAAATACTAAGCATATTTGTGTAAGAAGCTTTATTTCCTTTCCCTCCCACCCCAGTGCTAGGCAGTCACCTCACAACTCCCCAACTCTTGTTAAAGTGGAAGGAATCTGTCTGTTCCCAGAGTGAGGTATGGATTGGAATGTAATTTCCATGTATGTGTATGGATTAAGGTTGACCATTCACTCACTCACTCCTTCATACAACAAATATTTATTGAGCACCTACTATGTTCCTAGCACCAGCTAGGCACAAAGATGAAAAGATAAGGTCCTCACCCTCAAAGAGCTCACAGTCTAAATGAGGAGACAAACATGCAGTAGAAATTCCAACAAGGTCATCGTTGAGGCAGTTTGTACCAAGGGTCTTCCAGGGTAAGGAAGGCCTAATTTGGCAAGGAAGGCTTTAACAGAGGCGGCGGGAGCTTCTGAGCTGAGACCTGAAGGATGAGGGACAGCTCTGCCAGGCAAATGGAGAGCGGGTGCCGCCCAACTGTTCAAACTTCTTGAGCAAGAGCAAAATGTGAGCTAGGTACTCAGCCTGCTTAGGTGTTTGCCGGTTAAGCCAATGATAAGAGTGACAGCCAGCATGGGGACCACCTAGTTTACTCCTCTCATTTTACAGCTAAGGAAACTGAGGCAGAGAGAAGTAAATCTCTGCTTGGGGCTTTGAAATGGTTTATCTGGGGTAGAACTGCCATCTCTTCCCATCCCTTTCGGACAACACGCACACTACAACAAACTATTTGGTATCATATATGCTACATAACTTTTACACATCAAGATGGTTTTTACATTCTGTGACTTAATGTATGGCATCCAGCTTATTTGACCAGAGTTCCAGAGACAGAAAAATAGAGCAAATACACAATTCCAATCAGAAACAAAACGAAATAAAATAGAAACCACAGGAACAAGGAATTCACTATTTAATTGATAAGCTGGCATTTTAAAGTGTTAATTTTCCTTGACACTGAGATAAATCCAGGAGGGCCTAAACCCTGGTCACTTGAAGAAGGCCAAACTAATGTTTTTCTTCACGAGATATCCCAGCTCCAATCTCCTGAAGGCTTATTTTCCTGATGTTCAGGTAAAGTCACTCAACTGAATGGCAGCTTCTGCAGAACTCCCAAGTGGCAGTGTGTTTTGCCTGGTGTGAGGCCAGTCCTAGATTATCATATGTGCACTTCAAGCTCCCCTCAGAGTTGTTGATAGAATTGGTGCAATGTCCAGTTCTGGGCTGAGACTCTGCCCTAAAAAGCCATGAATAAATTTAGGCTAGAAAGGTTGGGTGTCTAAATTCTTAAGCTACTGAGCTGTAGATAATCCTGAAAAGCAGAAACACATGGGAAGGAAAAGTAGACGGAAAGAGAAACACAAGTTAGTGGCCTTTTTGGCCTAGTTTTCTGCCTTGTCTGGGGACACCATGAAAAAGAAAAAATAGGCCGGGCGCAGTGGCTCACTCCTGTAATCCCAGCACTTTGGGAAGCCGAGGCAGACGGATCACCCGAGGTCAGGAGTGTGAGACCAGCCTGATCAACATGGTGAAACCTCATCTCTATTGAAATGCAAAAATTAGCCAGGTGTGGTTGGGGGTACCTTAAATCCCAGCTACTTGGGAGGCTGAGACAGGAGAATCACTTCAACCTGGGAGGTGGAGGTTGCAGTGAGTAGAGATCATGCCACTGCACTCCAGCCTGGGTGACAGAGCAAGACCCAGTCTAAAAAAAAAAAAAAAGAAAGAAAAAAAGAAAAGAAAAATACATAGAGTCAGACACTATCAAATTTACATTCGAACTGCTATATTTCAAAACTGAGTGAAAGTACATACAGATCAAGTGTGACAATAAGGAAAATCAAACTAATTGTTGGGACCAGACCTCCTCTGTTCCCATAAAAGGTTTCCGAGGGCCTCCTTTACCCTGGGTATTGGGTTAGTGGCTGGTAATACTTCTGGTCTATATCAATCAAGCTTTTCTTTCCCTCATACCCAGTTGCTTGGTTGATACCTGCAGCACCCTCTGATTTTGATTTCAATTAATTGTGCAATTCCAAGTTGCTAACAAACTGCTCTCTGACCTACACATTGCCCTTCCCTTGGCCCTTTATCCGGGCAGAAGTCCCCAGGGCTGCCAGGCAATCCACTTGGGTGCAGCAAAATCTGGCACCACACTGGTCTTGACCCCAGGCTCTCCCTAAGTCCCAAACACCACGAAAAGATTTTCACGGGTCAAACAACCCTCATAAATCTAGCACATAAAAAAATGTATTTTCTGGCCGGGCGCGGTGGCTCAAGCCTGTAATCCCAGCACTTTGGGAGGCCGAGGCGGGTGGATCAAGAGGTCAAGAGATCAAGACCATCCTGGTCAACATGGTGAAACCCCGTCTCTACTAAAACTACAAAAAATTAGCTGGGCATGGTGGTGCGTGCCTGTAGTCCCAGCTACTCAGGAGGCTGAGGCAGGAGAATTGCCTGAACCCAGGAGGCGGAGGTTGCGGTGAGCCGAGATCGTGCCATTGCACTCCAGCCTGGGTAACAAGAGCGAAACTCCGTCTCAAAAAAAAAAAAAAAAAATGTATTTTCTGTTGGGCACTGTAGCTAATTTAGATTTTTCTGATTATAACTGAATAGGCTTGGAAAATAGATGTGGCTTCTTTTTTTAAAGGAAGCTCCTGTTAATGCTGGTTAAAGCCATTTCTATGAACCCCTATGTTGAGCTGGATGCAGACAGTTCTAATTCTGAGCACCTCGTGCAAATGTCTGACTTGGTGGGCCTCTTGTTTGTTCAGTTCAACCGGTGCATTACCTCCCAGATGATCAAGTGGTTCAGCAACTTTCGTGAGTTTTATTACATCCAAATGGAAAAATTTGCCCGGCAAGCAATTTCAGATGGTGTCACCAATCCCAAAATGCTGGTGGTTCTCCGCAATTCAGAACTGTTTCGAGCTCTCAATATGCACTATAACAAGGGAAATGACTTTGAGGTAAGACCATGTACTGGGGTCCCATGAGGTCTGATGAACATTTTCTCTATGTGATTCAAGTTTTAGGAAAGATCCCCATTCTGTGTCTGTCCTTAAGTTCTGAGAGCCAGGGCAGCCTGGGCCCAATCTCTGTATCATCCACAAAGATTACAGTCTCTTAGGCAACAAGGTAGAAGGAGCAAACTGAGTCTTCAGCTAGTCTTCATTCTGAAGCTTAGGCAAAGGTCTCCCAGTGTTATACCATCTTAGACTGAATACCCTGTAATTATCCAGTTACATAACTTACCGACCTTTTTGCCTTAGTTCCAGGAGGCTCAGGACTGAATGCTGAGCTCCGCTGTAGCACCTAGTCTTGGCCTAGGTTTTCTCAACAATTTCTATGCTTTTCATGATTTCGTTCTTATCTGTATTTTCCCTTGAAAATGTATCTGTGGGCCTTCCATAGCAAGTCGCCTCGAATCCTCTCTTGAAATAACAATAAACAACATTCAACCTTCTCAGTCCCTCGGGGATCCCTATGAAGGCACCCTGGTGGCACCTCAGAGGTAAAGCGTCAGTGAAGGGTGAGCCTAGGTGTCACTGGTGCACATTCCTAATCAAGAGACATGTGTTGCCTCCTGCACAGCTGACAGCTCTGTTGGGCTGGCATCTGATTCTGCAGGTGCCAGGTATATCTGGTCACAGATTACACTTCCCTCTTCTTGCTTTCTCTCTTGACTGTGATCACAAAGAGTGGTTTATTGATACTTCCAAGAAATATAAGAACTGTGGTCATCCACTGGTCGACTGGTCAGTCAGAATGTGTTTGGAAAGCTAAGACTACCTGTGGGGAAAATGGACCACACCTCCCTTTCTGAGGCTCAAGGGGGTCAGGGCCAGTATGGGACAGGCAGCACTGCCATATCTTTCCACATAGGGTGGTCATTTGGCCTGGAGTGGCGGCAAGCCCCAAGTCAAGCTGGGTCTGGAGCTTGGCGGTGGGGCACCCCATCATTCATGGTGCCAGTCTGGGTTAGGGTTCTAGAATAGTCCCCCCTGTCAACCAGCTCTGAAAGCAGGAGTGTAAGCCCTTCAAACCCAGCCCTAAAAGGCAGTGGAGTGAGGTATGAGAGTCAGAAGCTTGGGGGCACTCCTTTCCACAGTTAGTTCTAAGGAAAAGAATGCCAAAGTCTCTTTGAGCCACAGATTTACTTTCAGTAAGATTTTCTGACCTACTTAGTAAAAAGTCACCCATTAGGGGGATCAGCTCCTCCTATAAAGAGAGTGTCCTTAATTCACCTTCTCTCAGGGCTGTCTCATTGGAGCTGTCCTATCAAAGTTTATGTTTGATGAGAAAGCAGAGGATTTCTAGGGTTGCAGAATCAGGGGCCAGTAGAGCAGGGATGCTCCTAGCCCACTACCCAAGAAACAGGCAGCATCCACTAGCGAGGTCTCTGGCACCAGTGCTTCCCAACCTCATGTCTTTTCTTTCTTGTGGGTCTCTTTGGAAATGCAGGTTCCAGATTGCTTCTTGGAAATCGCCAGCTTGACATTACAGGAGTTCTTCAGGGCTGTCTCCGCAGGGAGAGATTCAGATCCTTCCTGGAAGAAACCCATTTATAAAATTATTTCGAAACTGGACAGTGACATCCCAGAGATATTCAAATCTTCCAGCTATCCCCAGTAGCTGTTTCAGAGTTAAGATCCCACAACGTGAGGAGTGACTGGCTAGGGTTTCCTGGGCTTGTGTTAAATGGCAGTTTAGCCGTAGTCATATAAAAGGGCACAAGGAAATCTCCTCTACCAAAATAGGTACTATTACCATTTTGATCATTTATTTCCTTTTCCAGAATCATCAGAAATTTAACTTTAACTATAAAATATACTAACTGTATTGGTGTATTGGTAGTATATTGTGAAAAGGAACACAAGTTTGGAATCAGAAGACGTGAATCTCAACTCCATTGTTTCCAGGGTGTTGTGACCCTGGGAACTTCCTGGTGTCTCTCATCTGTAAGATGAGGTTGTTCAGGGTTAAAGGACAGTGTGTCCTATGCAATGTTATTCACACACAAATGTTTGAACCCCACTTTCACATAAGGTTATCTTATTTGGGGTTTTTACAAATTGCTGTTTTTAGTCACCTACTCATAAAGCACCACCTATTTGCTAGATACTTTCACATACTTCAAGCTTCTCACCCTGAAAAACAGTTATTATTATCACTAAAAAAATGACCACCAGAAGCTTTAGAACTGCAAGCTAACTCGCCAAAGCCTATGAGGCTAGGACATCTGGGTTGATGGGATGGTCAGGAGCCTCAAGGAACCAAGACTTTCTGATGCCCGACTGCTCTGCTGCGAACTCAGGATCTCAAACAGGACCCCACCCCTAGTAAGCATCCAGCATTGGCAGGGCACTGTCACCTGAAAACTCCTGCCCAATACTTAGGAGTAATGCACCACCCAAGATTTCTGCTGATCATTTCAGCAAACCCAAGACAAACTTTCTGCAGGACTTGAGTGTTGTTGTTTATTTACATTTGTCTGCCGGAAGAGCTTATCAGCTGAATAATGCAAATAGTCTCTAGTTGACCACTGCAATTGATGCCCCAACCTCATATTTGCTGAAGAAGCTGAACTTCAGACTGTGAAAGGTAGAAAGGGCCTTTGGAGATCATCTGGCCCACACTACTTAAATTAGGAAGGAAGCAGTGAGGTCCAGACAGGAGGCTTGCACAGCCTTGCAGATGCTAAACGGCATAACTGGGACAAATGCAGCATCACACAGCAATGGAAATTCTCCCACTCCATAACAAAATTACAGTCCATGGCTGACCTTCCACTGATGCAGGAATTCGTGAAATCAGTTTTCCTCCCTGCTGACCCAACACAAATTGTGATCCTCTCTGAGCATACAGGTGAGACGTGCAAAGCTGAGTAACTGCATCTGTCTTCTAAGCTAGTCAGGATCAAGTCTTTGTATGCACTGCCAAAGGTACGCGGGCTGGGGTGGGGGTAACAGATAGCTCAGGCCTTGTAGTCCTGATAAGTGGTGTCTGTGAGTTCTTTAGCTTACTTCTTTCCTGTCTATATAAAACAAGTTTCCATATTCAGCTACTCAACTTCCATGATTTTTCTGGTGGGGCGCTAGCTGGAGCAGATGAGATAAAATCCCTAAACTATTACTAGATCTATCAGCATAAAAAGGTATAAAAGATGAATTTTCCTTTGAATTTTCTCTTACTTCAAACAGCTGAAAGGAAAAACAAAACAGACTTAGCCCAAACCCCTCTTTACAGGCCATTTAAAGGTTATTGTTAAGTGCTCTTCAATATATCCAGTTGCACTCAGAAGATCTTTGCCCTATTTTCACAAAAATGAAGGAATCTGCGAAACCTAAGTTTTAAACACAGGCAAGCATGGAGTGCTCAGAGCAAGGGCAATCAGTTTTCTGTGTCTGGAGACAGTAGAAGAGCCCTCTATCCAGAGTGACATTACATTCAGGGGAAACAAGTTCACATGATTGTCCAATAGAGAGCAGCCCTTCTTCTGTCCCAAACCTGAAATTCATTAGTGTGTGTTTTAAAGACTGAGCCAAGTCACCTCCAGGGCAGTGAACCTTGTCTCAGGGACCAATGAGATGAAATGTACAAGCTCAAATTGAAAACATTTGTGTACTGCAGTCTTTCCAGGAAGTGTTCTCTAACCACTGAGCTAAACACAGAAGAATGTATAAATATATATGCTCTGCCAACAGAATTCTATTCTAATTTTCTGTTTCTACCAAGTGTGTATCTCTCTGTTGGAAACACATGGAGTGTAAGCTGAGTGGGTTATTATGTTCTTTTGGCAGTCATACTTTGCCAAAGATCTGGTCATTCTTTCCATTAAGGTATATGAGGGTGCTATGTTTTTATTTGTTTGAGACAGGGTCTCCCTCTCTCACTCAGGCTGGAGCACAGTGCCATGATCACAGTAGCCTCGATCTCTCAGGTTCAAGTGATTCTCCCACCTCTGGCTCTCAAGTAGCTAGGACTACAGGCATATGTCACCAAGCCCAGCTAATTTTTAAAAACTTTTCTGTAGAGATGGGGTTCTCACTATGCTGCCCACGTTTGTCTTGAACTCCTGGGCTCAAACAATTCTCCCACCTTAGCCTCCCAAAGTGCTAGAATTATAGGCATGAGCCACCGTGCCCAGCCTTGGGTACTCCTAGATTAGACATGTTCAAATATTGCATAATTGTCTAATTTCTCAATGGTGGACAACAGGGTCTACACTGTGGGGTTTATGATGATGGCACTACTGAAGAGTTAATGCCCAATTATCAATTAAAAGCAGGTAGTTAATTGGTGGCATCCCATGCAGGAAAATGTTCATTAGGAACCTTTTTTTTTTTTTTTTTTGGAAACAGTTTTGCTCTGTTGCCCAGGCTAGAGTGCAATGGCATGATCTTGGTTCACTGCAACCTCCACCTCCTGGGTTCAAGCAATTCTCCTGTCTCAGCCTTCCAAATAGCTGGGAATACAGGCATGTGCCACCACACCTGGCTAATTTTGTATTTTTAGTAGAGATGGGGTTTCACCATGTTGGTTAGGCTGGTCTCGAACTCCTGACCTCAAGTGATCTGCCTGCCTTGGCCTCCCAAAGTGCTGGGATTATGGGCATGAGCCACCACGCCCGGCCATTAGGAGGAACCTTTATTTCAAACATGGTTTCATACAGTATACAAATCCCAAACTAGATTCAAACGGTGAGAGGCTGAAGGCATCTCCTGGGCATATAAAGGGTACCTAAACAATTTTTTTTCCATCAGAGAATGAGCAAAGCATAAATAGCAAACAGATAGCACAGCACTCTTTAATAAAGCTCTACACTCAGCCCTCTTACGGAGGCCCACTTTTAAAATATTGTCTTTCCTTTCAATGACAAAATATAGAATCCTCAGGAAAAAAATTAAAGTTGCACTCTCCTAACCTAATTTTACAAGTGCTTTTGGAAAATATATTGTTTGGCTGGGCAGAGTAGCTCATGCCTGTAATCCCAGCACTTTGGCAGGCTGAAGTTGGAGGATCGCTTGAGCCCAGGGGTTTGAGACCAAACTGGGCAATGTGTTGAGGCCCCATCTCTACCAAAAAAGAAAATACAAAACTTAGCCTGCCTAATGGTGTGTGCCTGTAGTCCCGGCTACTTGGGAGGCTGAGAATCATTTGAGCCTGGGAGGTTGAGGCTGCAGTGAGCCGGCAATCATGCTACTGCATAGCCCTGAGTGATAGAGTGAGCTCCTGTCTCAAAAAAAAGAAAAAAAAGATAAAAATTATTTCTTTTAAAAGTCCTTACAGGCCGGGTATGGTGGCTCACACCTGTAATCCCAGAACTTTTGGGAGGCTGAGGCAGGCAGATCATGAGGTCAAGAAATTGAGATCATCCTGGGCAACATGGTGAAACCCCACCTCTGCTAAACATACAAAAATTAGCTGGGTGTGGTGACATGCACCTGCAGTCCCAGCCATTTGGGAGGCTGAGGCAGGAGAATCACTTGAACCCAGGAGGCAGAGGCTGCAGTGAGTTGAGATGGTGCCACTGTACTCCACCCTGGCAACAGAGTGAAACTGTCTCAAAAACAAAAACAAAAACAAAGAAACCTTACAAAATTAGCCAAAATTTTAGTAACCAGCATTCTGAAGTCCTATATAGTTTAGATTTTCATAATAATTGATTCTAGTCCTTTTGTTTATAGTTTTGATCCTTTGCTCTGTAAAGCAGATCATTGATAATATTTACAATCAAAACAAATTTTAAAAATCCTTTGATGTTTTTACACAAACTGTTAAGTATTTGCACAGATTTCACATAAAGCAAGATCATCAAACAAGATAATGAAATACAGTCATAGGCACAAAAGAGATACTGAATAGCTAAAACAATATAACTCTATCAGGCTGAGGATTATATACATTTCAATTTGAGTTCTGTACAAGCCTTAACTGCTTCAAGGACTGAAGCTTTCAGGTCGAAGGAAATGAACTTGTGACAATACGGCAAATGTAATGCTTTTCATGAAAGTATTGCATAAAATACTCTTGGTCAGATTTACCACAAGTATAAACACATACACCTGTAAAGTATGAGCTCAGATGATCACTTGAGAGTATTAATAATGCATGCTGTATCTCTGAGGTAGATCATGGTATCTACATTTACAAATAGTTATTAAGCACTCACCTGTGGAACAAGATGATTCATGAAAAGACTATTTTTCAGGGTTAGACAATTCCTATATAAAAAGAAAAGGCTTTTTTTTTTTTGAGATGTGGTCTTGCTCTGTGACCCAGGGTGGAGTGCAGCGATGTGATCTCGGCTCACTGCAACCTCCACCTTCCAGGTTCAAGCGATTCTTGTACCTCCGCCTCTCAAGTAGCTGGGATTACAGGTGCACGCCACCATGCCTGGCTAATATTTGTATTTTTATTAGAGACGGGGGTCTCACCATGTTGGCTAGGTTGGTCTTGAACTCCTGAGCTCAGGTGATCTGCCAGTCGGCCTCCCAAAGTGCTGAGATTACAGGTATGAGCCACCACACCTGGCCGCCTTTTCAATAATCCTCAGTAGCATATATAACCAAGTGCCTAAGAGTTGAATGGTCAGTCCTACTTAACAACAACAACAAACCAAAAAAGCAAAACAGATGCTAGCCTCCAGAGGAAGGGAGTGTCTGACGAAATGTAGAAGGCAGGTGGACAATGAACACAGAAAAGGAGCAACCCAAAACCGCGCCAGTTTTACATGTCCATCTGCTTACTACGGGTCTGCGTTTTCTTTCACCAAGAGTTTTTCAGGGTGATTTTATTTCTCATGATCTTCTCACTTCATGCTCAAAAACTCTTGGTTTGCCATTTCCAATTCTCCAGTCACACCTCACAAAAAATATCAGTTCCTTTTCTTCCCCAAGGAAAACCTTTTTCTTTCCCCAATTTACTGATTCCCGTGGCTCTGACTGCCATGCCCTCGGTTACTGCTTCTGGAATAGAGATTCAGCTGTCGGTAAGAATGCCGTTCTTCCTGTTCACCTTTCCCCACCTTTATCCTCAGGTATCTAACCTGACACTGCTTCCCCCACCCCATTTGCTTTCCACTTTAACCAATACCTTTCCCAAGTCGAGTAGTTTGCTAGGTGCATGGGCTTCGGGAGTGTGTATTCATCCTGGCTCAACCACCTATCAGCTATGGATCTCTCTAAATTACTTACTCTTCCTGGCCTCAGCTTGGCCATCTGTAAAACAGAAATAATATAGCACCTACCTCATAATATTGTTCTAAGGTTCAGGTAAAACAATACATGTGAAATGCTCAGCACACTTCTAATGCATAGTATGTGCTCAGTAAAGGTTAGCTGTATTACTGTTCAGCAGTCATAAATTGTTAGCAAAGTCATGAATTTGTACTGCTTCACAGTGAAAAAGAATTCTTAGCTCAAAAACATCACTGACGTGTAACACTGATGCAAGCACAAAACTTAGCTTTAAATTATGTTAATATAGTTTAAGAAGAAAACCCAGCTAAAAAGCTGTGTGCTATAAAGTTTATATGCATTTCCTCATTTGCTTTTTAATTACAACCCTATGTTGATGTGTTTACTTGACAAATGGCATGGCGACTATTGTTTCCTAGTTGGTTGCTCAGACACTGACCTGCTTTTGCCTTACACAAGGGAAACACTTTCTTTTGAGATGGGGTCTCGCTCTGTCGCCCAGGCTGGAGTGCAGTGGCACGATCTCAGCTCACTGCAACCTCCGCCTCCCAGGTTCAAGTGATTCTCTTGCCTGAGACTCCTAAGTAGCTGGGACTACAGGTGCCTGCCACCATGCCTAGCGAATTTTTTTGTATTTTTAGTAAAGATGGGATTTCATCATCTTGGTCAGGCTGGTCTTGAACTCTTGACCTCGTGATCCGCCCACCTCGGCCTCCCAAAGTGCTGGGATTACAGGCGTGAGCCACCGTGCCCAGCCTACACTGCATTTTTGACATCCTCTTAATTAAAAGTTCAGTGACTAATGTGGTATTTCTAAAATTATGCAACTTGCATCTCTAACCACTGCTTTTTGGGGCTGTATCTATGTCCATTGAATAGGCTAGTTTTGACTTGAATATTTTCTTAACTTCTGTACAGTTATTCAAAACAGCTCTGTAGCTGTTCCACTCGTTAAAAGGGGCTGGTTCATTGCTTTCTTAACTGGGTGAGGGGTAGGGAGGGAAACATAACTGATAGAATCCTGGTTTTCTCCCCCTCTTACCACTTAAATCTACATTCAGGATTACTTTTTCATAAAGATTAGCTCTTGTTTTGGATACAGGGTCTTGCTGTGTCACCCAGGCTGGAGTGCAGTGGCACGATCTTGGCTCACTGCAACCTCTGCTTCCTGAGCTCAAGGGATCCTCCCATCTTAGCCTCCTACAGGCCAAGACTACAGGCACGAGACTACAGGCATATGCCACCATGCCTGGCTATTTCTTTTTAGAGATGGGGTCTCACCATGTTGCCCAGTTTGGTGTGGAACTCCTGGGCTCTAGAGATCCACCCACCTCAGCCTCCCAGCACTGGAATTACAGGTGTGAGCCACCATGCCCAGACTACTTTTTTTGATTGAAAATAATCCAGCCTCCCTTCTGGTTCATCTGTAGTCACTAATGTTGATTATCTTCTCCTCTGATCTTTCATGTGTGTGGGCTGGTGATTATCAGAATATTTAAGGCTCTAAATGTCTTCTGGCTAGTCTGTTTCTACATTGTCTTTTTCAAATCAAGCTTTATGAGACAATGGGACTGTCAGCATGAAGTTTTGCTGACTTCTTACTGTATTAAATTTCTAACAAAAAGACCACAATTACATCAGACAGAATACATTTTTAATAAATACCCCAAAGCTGCTTTTGCTCAAGATTACTATCTTGGTGTTTAGACACTTCTTTTCACACATCCCATTACTTCATCAGAGCTAAGCTT